GTCTTTTGCATGTTTGAATAAGGCAATTTGAAAATATTTGGCCCTTGATTTCAAACATTTGTAATATTGTTATTTATTGATTACATGTTTATATATAGTTTATCCTTTGCTTACAGTAGGCAGATGTCAATTTCAAATTGTTCAAATATTACTAATATTTTATTAATTTTTATAGTTATAGTCCTCAAAAATATAAATTATCTTCAAATGTTGGTTGTAATAGTAACCAGGGCTTGTCAATGCAGTTAAGTGTTGGGAAAAGTAACTATACATCTGGCTGTGCTCATGGTGGCATCTTATCTAGAGAGAGACAAACAGAGCTGATTTAACATTTAATCCTGTGTAAATCTACTTTGGTTATATGGAAGTAGTCAAGGTCATGTCCCTTGCTCTCAGCTAGCATTGACTTCCGAGATTGCTCTCATTCTCTTGCCTCTTATTTCCTATTGCCCTTAAGCCTCTGATATGTCATGTTACAATTTAATTATAAAGAGTCTTCTCATTTTTTAAATTATATACAAAGTATTTTACCTCCTCAATTACATAGTAAAATCATTTAAATCAGGAACCATTCCTTTTACTTCCTTTATATTTCCCAAGTTTAGAACTGCTTAGAACTGCATTGATTATAACATAATCAAATAGTTTTTATTATGTGACTTAAAGGAAATAAATCATCCTTCAACAGCATATATCATTAAAATCAAAACAAGTATTGCTATTGCTACTACATGTATCAGATGTTCCATCTTTTTTGTATTTAGACAAAAAACACTAAATATTTAGGAAATGATTCTAAAATGTTTTAATAAAAGTAGGTTAACATAAAGATATTGGAAAAATTTTAAGTTCACCATATGCCCCAGTTTCAAAAATACTAGGCCAAAAATAAGAGTTATTCTTAGACTTATAATTAAATACTTATGTACTTTGGGGATATGTTACAGTTTTCTATTAGGTTCAGTCATTTTTTTTGAAAAAAAACTGTTTTGTCAAAGAAAGACTACTGCTCTGCCACTTCTCTTCACTCTTCATTATTCCATTGAGAGGCATAATTAAGTTCAAAGTTGGAAGCTAACAGTTGAAACTGACTTTATCACTGATCTCTGTGCTAGCATTATGATGCCATAGTTTACAAATCTTGTTTAGTTTCTAAATTGACTTTTCAGAAAACTTTTGCTATATATGCAAGAATAGAAAACACACAGAATCTGGATTCCCATGTCCAGGTTTGGCACTTCTGCTTTGTCACTTACTAACTGTGCAGACTTGCGTACTCACTCTTTTTGCTGCTGCTTCTTGTCATCTGTAAAATGGGTACAAGAAACAAATAATCCAAAGTTTCTGAAAGCATCAAATAAACTAGTTTATGTTCGAAACATTTTTAAATTTTCAAATGACAAACTTATCAGTTATTCTTATCGTTGTTTTCTGTTCCCCCAAAATATGTAGATGAGTGACTAGGAAAAACCAAAAGTTGGTTGGAAAACTGTTAGTATTTAATAAATTGTTTATGCCCATGTTGAGGAAAATGTAAATGAATTAATAATATAATATGAAGATTCTGGTATATTAGTTACATGCAGTTTATTTACTAAAACTAGATACAATATATACATATATTTAAAGTTTTCAAATATATAATTTTTTAAATCTTAAACGCAATAATTTAATTACATTTTATTCTAGAGTTCTCCGTATTTATGTATAAATATCTGAACTCCTTTCAATTAGCATAAAATTTACTTCGAACTTTTATTTTTTCGTTAAGAAGCTGCAAATGGTCTATTTATTTTTTGACATAGTATTATTTTATAAGAGAAAGGCATCTTAAGATATCAGTTAATCCAACTTTCTGCCACTCTCTCACTGTACTGGGAATCCTACATGTATATCAGCAGAGAGTATTTGAGTGGCAAATTTCCTGTTCTTGTTCTAAAAATGCACACATATTACTTAATTAAACATGAGATTGAAAAGTATCCACCATCAAATTCCTTATTATTTAGGAATCAAATCTACTACTATTGTGGCTGCTGTTATCACTACTTTTGCTACTATTAGATTGAACTTTCCTTGGTTAACTATATTACAATAATGATAATTCAATGAACATTCAATCTTAATCTTGAAAGCGAATATAGTATAGAAATAGTAGCTTACAAAGTTTTTATTTGCCATTTTAAAAATAATTCATATATATTAAATGACCTCTTCCTATCCTTCTACTGTCTAGAATATCTTCAAGTCATATCATTCTCTTCTGTCTCTATATAAACAGTCTTTCTCTCTCTAATATGTCATCAAAGGAGAATACATGTTACTTCTGTCTTCAAAATTATTGTTCTCTTGAGCCTATCCCCATACTTATTGATAAATTCTTCTGCTATCCTTTAAAACACAATGCCTTAACAGAATACACATGGGGACATGTACACTCATACACAAACTGGTCAACAAAAATTGTGAGTAAAAAACACACACACGAATAATTGACTACAATTTTTCCCTTTGTGTTTATGCAAAAATATTTTGTCATGATCATAAATGACTTTCATTTTATTTTTTTAAAAGAATAAACTTTTTCTCCTAATTAAACATTCATCACAATTTCACATATTTGATCACATTCTTATTCTTGATGGACATTTTTCAGTTGGCTTTTGGGTCACCACCCTCTGCTGATTTCCCTCATACCCATCTGTTTGCTTCTTCTTGGTATCTTTTGCCAGTTCCTTCTTATCTTCCAGTTCAATAAATTTGACAGACCTAAAGACTCTTCTCTTTCTACACTCAATTTTTCATTATTTAGCACTCTCTCCCAGTCTTGTGGCTTTAAATAACACATATATGCTCCCAATATAGTATTTCTGTATCAGAGGTCTTTCATAAAATCTGGGCTGGCTCTATATGGATTTGGTGACCATCAACACAAAGATAGAATTGAAGGTATGCCAATGCAATAGTGAATAAAATTGTAGCATAAATCTCTGCTAGTCTCTATAATCTCCATCTCATCATTATTCCCCTTGTCCATCATTTTCCAGATACACTAAAAAAACACAATTTAGGACCTTTACAAAGTCTGTGCTTTCCCATGACATGCTGTCTGTCCTCACCACTATTAACCTATAGCTGGGTCTTTCAAATATGTTTCATCAGATTTGAAAGAATTGCCTAAAAAATATTGCCTTGACAGTCACAAATATGTTCTCTATTATTCTCTGTCATCATAACAATTCTGTTTCCATCATTGTATCACAATTATATTTATACATTTATTTACTTCCTTATTTGATTTTGTTATTTTCTTCAGTAAAGCGTAAGCTCCATGGGAGCAGAATCCATCACTGCTCTACTCACAAAATGCCCCAAGTGCTTGGATATAGTAAATAGTCAACAAATACGTGTTTAATGTTTGAATGAACATAAACTCAGAAAATAAATAACAGCTTATTAACAAAAAACCTATAAGAAGTTTTATTTAAGTCTTTAGTTTGTAACAGGCTTAAGAAAATACTTTTCAGAAATGTTGGTTATTAATAATATCTAGTTTTAATACTAATCTAGAGAAATTAGAGTATAATCTCTGTTTATCTTTGAACAATATCCAATAAGAAATGTCCTAGGATACATGACCTTTGTATTTCATTTCTTATGTAGTCCGGATGTCGTATATTCTTTTCTATCTTTTTTATGGTGGTACTGATGAAAAAAAAAAAAAAAAACAACTATTGGTCAATTAAGAGGTGGCCAAAAAATAGTACTCTTTAGCCTTTTCTTGCTTAAGGAACAAAAGAGAACAAAAGGATTTATCAAGAAATAAATTCTATATTTTCCTTAAATACATAAAAACATATGCCTATGATTGTTATGTTGCCAGGAACTTCTCAAACAGATATTTTTTGTCTAGAGGGTAGACAGGGTATTTATCGGTCATCTCATTAGGAGATAAAAAATCTGATTTCCGTATGAGTTTTGATTTTGACTTCTTGTGAGGCTTAAAAGAAAAAAAAGCAAAACAAAACAGTATTATCCTAAGATTGACATTCTTTCCCTAGCTGACCAGTACTGGTTTTTGTTTCTCTTTTTTCTGTTTTCTTTTTCAAAACTCAGTAAGAAAATCTCATTCTCTTAATAGTGAAATAAGAAAAATGCTGAAGTACACCAACTAAAGTAAATATGCTTAAGAAAAGAAGTAATTTATTAAATAATGACTATTATGATATGCTAATTATATTGTAAACAAATCATGAATATTTCGTTGAGCCATAGCCTCTGTGTTTAATACATTTGTATTTATTTTAATTATCTGTACTCCTTTCATTACCTTTTGCTTTATCTCTGTGGCAAAAATCTTGGAATGACTTCCACACCGTCTCATTCTAGACATCCAGAATAAATAAAATTCTCTTTAATCACAGATATAATGAAATATTTAGGCATTTTACTTCTTTTATAAGAAGTTTCTGAATTTGAGACAAGAAAACCTTTCAAACTGTATTTATTTAAAGATCTTTGTCCCTTTGAATGTTTTGGTAGAAATGAAACCAAGGATTCTTACAATTAGAATAGATGTGTGAACTGCATTGCTCACAATATCTTAACAAACTTTTATTTTCATGCACAAGATATCTCAGGGAGATTAAAAATAAAAGTATGTTTTAACTCTCAAAAAAGTTTAAACGTAATCATAAAACTCTCAATCTGCGTGTATTTTTATAATAGTTTTTATTGCAACTTTTTTTCTTATTCTTGCATTTTTCCAAATGTCTTGGCCACCTTCTAACAGGTAGTAGATTCTGAGCTTCCTTGTCCTAGGGAGACTCTTTTTTGACAGGAAGTATGTCTTACAGTGTTGAAAAGAATATGTGAGAAAAATACAAAAAAAAGAGTATTTCTAGATTAGGCAGACTGCTTTGAGGGGAGAAAGATTGCCTCTCACAGTTTAAAAGAAATTTTTCCGGGTTAGGGTACTGAGAGGAAAAAACAAGTGAAAAAACAAACAAGCGAAAATGGCGGACGGGAAGGCGGGAGAGGAGAAGCCTGAAAAGTCGCAGCGAGTTGGAGCTGCCGGAGGACCTGAAGAAGCAGCAGAAAAACCTGTAAAAACTAAGACTGTTTCTTCCAGTAATGAAGGGGAAAGTTCCGGTCGCAGCGCTGAGAAGCGATCAGCTGAAGAAGCAGCTGCCAACTTCCCAACAAAGCCTACAAAAATCTCCAAGTTTGGATTTGCCATAGTAGCAGCAGCTTTTAATGAAGATGAAGATAGTGAACCAGAGGAAATGCCTCCAGAAGCAAAGATGAGGATGAAGAATATTGGAAGGAATACACCAACATCAGCTGGACCAAACTCCTTCAATAAAGGAAAACATGGGTTTTCTGATAACCAGAAGCTGTGGGAGCGAAATATAAAATCTCATCTTGGAAATGTCCATGACCAAGACAATTAAATGATGTTTTGAAATTGGTGTGTGGGGTGCATGTAAAGTTAAAAGGAACAGTTTCCTTTTTTAAAGAATGGTATAAGACTATCTTAGAGCCGCTTTTTTTTTTTTCTTTTTCATTTTTTTAAAAGATTGAGTGGTACACTAATAAACGAGAGTTTGAAATTAGAGGTAATTTATGTTTTATATACAGATTTCAAGACATTTGCTAATTTTGTAGTTTCATGTGATTAGTTTCCAAAGGTTACAGATAATAAAGAAATCAGAAATGGTACCTTTTTAAGAATTGCATATTTTTTTAGACACAACTATTAGCACATTAAGAGGGAAGCAAAAAGTTATTGTCTATTTAAAACTGCAAGCGGTTACTCTCTTAACTCACTTATTACCTAAACTTGTCTGGCTCCCAGGAACAGCCTTATAGAGAGAGGGAGTATTGTATTGGGAGGAAAATGTTACTGAAGTATTCACTGAAAGTAAATTTAGATAAAATACAGCTTTTTTCCTTGTGGGCATTTGTTTTGTTTCAAGTCATCATAAACTAGGTATTGCATTGCTATCAGTGGATACAGATGCTTAGTTCTTAAAAGAATTTTTTTTTTTTAATGTAAACTGTTGAATATTTGAAATAGCCCACTTCACCTTAATGGGTCTTGTCTATCTTCATTAGTCTTCAAAGAAAAACCATTTGCTACCAAAGTAAATCAGTATTTTGAATGTGCTTCTCTTGTTTTTTTGTTTATTAGCTAGTTCCTGTAAGCATTTCCACCAGAACTTGACAAATCATAAGGAAGCTATTTCTTTTAAAACACAAACCACCACCAAAAATTTAAATGTACATATTGCTTAAGTATTTGGCTGTTTTTAGTTTTTAAAAGGTATAAACACCAAATAATAATAATAATAATAATAATAACATTGTATGAAGATGGAAAACAAGAAGATGCACTTTCCGTAACCTTGTCTAAGGATTTAAATTACTAACCTGTGAACTCCAATTTGAATTGAACTTAACTATCGGCTTTCTTACTAGTAAAATTGTATAGTTTATTTTAAATGTGTATATATTGACCAATGACCTCTGAAAAAGCACATTTTAGATACTGAAATTGAAGGAAAGAAAATGCATCTTCAACGTTTTTTGGAATCTCACCACGTGTACTTTGCTAGATTTCTGTATTGTAGCGTGTTTGTTTTGTATTTTTGTGTTGTATATGAACTTTATTTTAAATGTAACAGTTAAACACATCTTTAATAGCATAGTCACAGACAAAAGAAGCATACAGTATAAAAATTTCCTTGAAAACTCCTACAATATTATATTTGGAGGCAGCTTCAGATTGTTTTATTGGTGGTAACTGCTTGCTGAGGTCTTTTAGTTGGTAATAACTCCAGAGAAGCAGCCTGTGTATATTCCTAACATTTTGTTCACTAGCATTTAAGTTTAGAATAAGCCCAAGTAAAACGATGGAAATGTATATAGAACTCTTTGTTCTTACATGATTTAATTATATCAAGATACATGAATTTCACTTACTTTAATGTAGGCAAACTATCCATTTTTTGTCCATTTTCCTGTTTGTTAAAATAACATACCTCTCCTACATATTATTTTCTTGACCCAAATGAAATATTAACCTAAGGTCAAGCTGGGAGAGAGAAATGACTGAGATGAATGTCTTTACTAAACTACCAATAAATTTGTCAAACTCAAAAACAAACAAACAAGTGAAAAAACAAGATGTCTCTGGGTCAACAAAGGAGAGGGCATCAGTATTCTGATTCCATATATTACTGCCTGAAAATAACTAGACAAAGTTGCAGCATGATTGACTGCTTAGGGAACTGCACAATAAAGAACCACAGAGCTTCCAGGCATGAACGGAGTATGTGGACTTGGGCATTGGTCAATGTTTCACATAAGCTATATGCATGAATGGATAAGCAGGAACTGAATCTAACACCTACCCATCACTCACAACCCATATGGTTTAAAGCCTCATAAAATCCTAAAACTCAAACCCAATTTTAAAGAAGAGGCAATAACACATAACTATTATTACAATGCTCCAATCCATGAATGTGGTATAACCTTTCCTTTACTTAAAGTTTCTAAATTTTATCTTAATAATTTTCCCTGTGTAACAGAAATAAGCACTTTTTTCAGATTTATTCCAAAGTATTTGATGTTTTATTTATATGTTTTTAAAGTTTTGATTTTTGTATTTTAACTTTGTATCCAGCAACTTTACTAATACGTGAATACACATTAATTCTTAGAGTGAGATTGCAGATCATTTTGGATTTTTATGCACAAACTCATGAACATTGTGAATATTGATGTTTTACTTAGTTTTAATATTTCTAAATAGCTCAGAGACTAATGAAGATACAGAACCTACACCGCTTATTTGAACAAAGAAAACAATACATTTTAATTACATATAAAGTTGCTACATAAGTAACTGAAAAGAAAAGAAAACTAAGGTATTATATAGGTAGCAAATGAGAAGCAGCAGCTACCCTCACCCTACTGCACCTACAGCCAGGGGAGCAAAGTGGAATTTATAAAACTTAGAAGACAGGCTGCATGGAACTGTTTCTACAGAGTGGGTACAGCTCAGCTGGTTCTAGTATCTCTAAGTTCATAGGAGTGCTCTATTGGGCTGAGATCGATCTAGATATCTGAAAAGCAGAACTTGCTGCATTTGCTGCTTTGACTCTGATGTGGGGCACAATTAGTCTGGGACTTAAAGTTGTAAATGAGTTGCATACTGGAATCAGTAATAAATGTTGTTCCTGGAATGAAGAATCATTTAAAGCCTGGTACTTAGAGTAAGAAAAGCAGTCAAGAAGCTTATAGAAAGCAACCGAATATAAGTGCCTGTGTATTCCTTCAGTCTTGCATTGTCTTTATAGGTTCTCTTACTGGCACAACCTATAGGAAGCTAACTGGCAAGTTAGAAATGTGGTTTTCCTACTCCCAAACCCAGAATCACAGAATGAAGTATAGATAAAGGGTTAGTACTTAAAGGAAAAAAAAAAAAAAAAAAGAAGAAGAAGAAGAAGAGCTTAATAACTGGCAGATTTTCATCTTTGTTTTTCTTATCCTGTTGCACCAATTACAAACTCCAGCACAATATAGAATACAAAAGATCATTGCCAATTTGTTCCTGAATTGAGTGGCATATTTTTCACTATTTCACAACTTTTTTGGCAGTTGAAGAACATTTTATTGCATGGTTGTACCTTTATATTCAGAGCTGCTTAATACATATCAATAGTAAAAAACCCAATTTGTACATTTTTTATACTTGAAAAAATTTTTCTTTTTATTATTTATTTATTTATTTATTTATTTATTTTTTTGAGATAGAGTCTCGCTCTGTCGCCCAGGCTGGAGTGCAGTGGCGTGGCGCGATCTCAGCTCACTGCAAGTTCTGCCTCCTTGATTCACGCCGTACTCCTGCCTCAGCCTCCCGAGTAGCTGGGACTATAGGCGCACACCGCTAAACCCAGCTAATTTTTTTGTATTTTTAGTAGAGACGGGGTTTCACCGTGTTAGCCAGGATGGTCTCGATCTCCTGACCTCGTGATCCAACAGCTTCGGCCTCCCAAATTGCTGGGATTACAGGCGTGAGCCACTGGGCCTGGCCGAAAAATTTTTTAAACAGTGCGGTTTTTCCTCCCTTTTTTTTTTTTGTCTTGATAGTCTCTTCAGTAGTTTGTCAATTGCGTTTCTTTCTTTCTAAGAACCAGCTATGATTTTCTGGATTCTATTTTATGTTTGCAATCTATTATTTAATTCTTGCCTCTATTATCATCATTTATTTGTTTTTTAGTTTAATTTTTCATTGTTGTGATTCTGAGATGTACACTTAGATTATTGCATTTTTCAACCATTCTGATGTTCTACCATGTTTTGAAAGCTATAGATTATACTCTAAGCACTTCCTTATTAGCATTCCATGAATTTTGACAGACCATATGTTGACTATCACTTAGTCCCAACTATTTTCCAGTTTCCATTGTAATTACTTATTTAAAAAATGTTTAGCAATATTAAATATTTTTTAATGTTTCTAGTAGTTTTTATTATCTATTTTTACCTTAACGCCTCACAGTTAATAGTTTGGAGCTGATTTGATGCTGGTTTTTATTCCATGTGAGAGTCATTCTCTCTGAATTTTATTCCAATTGTGTAGTCCTTCAGAGTCTCAGCTGAAAACCTGGGGCCTATTCCTAGTTACCTCTACTTTTATAAGTCCTGAGCTACAATTTCTGTGCCTTCAACCCATGAAACTATAAAATGCTCTGCTCAGCTTCTTCTTGACTTTCAAACTCATGACTGACTCAATGAAACAGAAATGCTAAATATCAAATACGTTTTTACTGTTTTTTTTTTTTTTTCTCCTGAGATCTTGGTATTCAAGTCCTCTCTACCATCTAAGGATTTGTTATTGTTGTTGCTTTTTTATTGTTGTTAATCTTTCACAGATTTTTTAAATTGCGCTCATAAATAGGCCTGATTCAAAGCAACCTACTACACTGTCAAAAGTATGATAATCAATAAATATTAATTTTTAAACACTGTTCTCCATTTTATGTATTTCTTCTCCATTACATTAAAACAAAAAATTGAACTGATTCTGTTCAATAAACATGGGATTTAACTTAAAGTTAGTGCTTTTTTGTTCAAAATTTGCATTAATTGTTATGTATTATCTGCTACATTTCACTCCTTTAGATGAGATTACAAGGGCAACATATGGCATTAGCAGGACAGGAAAATTGTTACTGTATGTGCAGAGATGTTGACATTGCTGGAATGGACCATTATGTAATCATATGACTCTTATGTCATCGGCTTACATAGGACAAAATTAATTTTCCTAGGGAGAAATCTGTATAATGCTATTAGTAAATAACATAAAATCTTAGTATATGAGGTCAGAGCTTCTTATGTCATTGATTATTTTAACTTTTATTCTATATTGCCATGTACATGCTGTTTAATTCTCTTATCATTTAGTATTAAAGAAACAAAGGAGCCAATATGAGGTCAGAGCTTCTTATGTCATTGATTATTTTAACTTTTATACTATATTTCCATGTGCATGCTATTTAATTCTCTTATCGTTTAGTATTAAAGAAACAAAAGAGTCAACATGATATGTACTGTATAATAGGGAAGAGATTTTTGTTTGTGTGTGTATGTTATGCAAAACTTTCTAAATAGTCATCAAAACTATACTAGATCAAATAAGTTGTAGCAGGAATATTACTTTGAAAATCTCCAGATAGATTTAATCTTAACCAGAAAAAAATGACATAACTTGATATACAGTCCTACTAAGACATATATTTGAAGTCTTTCAGGCTCATTTATACAAAGGATATTAGAGCTTCCATACACAAAATTCAGGGATTATTTTCACATGTCATTTCAAAGGTTAAAATTTAATTAACTATCTCAAAAATAAACTATATTGATTTATAGTATTATCATAATTATCCTTAAAAATGAGAAATACATTATATGTGCATTATAGAGCTAGGTATCCTAACATACTTTAGGAAATAAGTAAATAAATAAATATAATGTATGTTAAGAACCTATTATATGCTGGGCAATGTCATAAGAACTTTACATTTTAATGTGATTAGATTCATGGTACCTTGATTTTGTTCTCCTAGAACTCAGAATAGTTATTATATACA